GGACGGTCAAGCTGTGGGACGCCGGGTCGGGCGCGCTGCAGCAGACGCTCGATATTGGAAACATCGTCTACGCTCTCTCTTTCTCCGATGACGGTACCTCTCTCCAGACGGACCGTGGATCCTTGCCTATTTTATCACCTCTCTCTGGTGGTATAGGTGTGACCGGTATACAACATCCATCCTCTATCTTTGTCAATGGCCACTGGGTGAGTAGCCATACAGAGCGGATCCTTTGGCTTCCTCCCGAGTATCGGCCACACTGCATTGCTGTGTATGGGGATATTGTTGCTTTCGGATATATATCTGGAAGAGTTATGACCATGGAACTTACTTTGTGATATTTCCTTAAGCTTTATTTAACCTCCTCCCCGCCCACCTTCCTTACAGATGGTATCTTTTATATACTACATGAATAGCACGAGTGGCGACAGCCGATGAGTAATGTTTGATTAGAAATCCAAAGGCTTTAAAACCTGATTGGTGCTATTATTGAGAGTGTTTAAGAAATAGTGCCTTTCCCAACCCGTCTCCCCTGCTTGCTGCTCTGGCAGTCTCGACAGAGGAACAGGGCGTACATACCTACTAACGCAGCTCAGAACAGGGCACTCGTGGCTTGCATCTCATGCCAAAATCCACGGCTTTCGAGATGATGACTAATGCGAATGCGGAGCAAGAGAGACGGTGGTACATGTCCTAGTGGACTGTCCGAATCCCAGAGAGCTAAGACAACAGCCTCAGAAGAAGATAGGAGACGCTTTCAACAGTATCACCGGAATGCTTAGAGGGAGACCTCAGGATCAAGGAAGAACCAAGAGATGGACAGTTGACAGCGACGTCCTAGACGCAGTACTTGACTTTGCGGAAGCATCTAAGAGATACACAGCAAGAGCTCCAGGACGACCTCAAATCAGGGGTCGCGGACATGGTGATCACCGTAGGCCTTAACGAGGCAAAAACTTCGTGCATGCAGCGGTACAGTGTAAATTAGCTGGAAGAATATGGTAGACCTGAGTAGTGGTAGCCTGCATAGAGTATCCCACGGGAGAGGTCAGGGTAAATGAATCAACAACAACGACTGTACAGCAAAGCCTCGAAGGAAAATGACCTTGAGAACTCCCGGTAATTCCCTGCACTTTTCAAGGTCAAGTTCCCTAAGTCTTAAGATACGTAGACAATCGGAATTGTCAATAATCATTTGCGTTGTGTCTGCAGCCCCTGAGCTTAAGCAGTGAACTTGCTTAATCATCGGCCCCACGTAATGCGACGCACTATTCCTCAGTTGCCCTCGCCCAACCTTCTCTGGATAGATGAGACTGTGATATATCTAAAAGAAAATGTTGTGAACCCGGGCCGCGTGGTTCTTAAAGTGCATCTCGGAGCTTAACACCTCCTCGCAGAGCGGGTAAGGACATTCCGGCTCTTTCGACCAATCGTGGTGGCGCAGATGCTTCTTAACGTGGTCCTTTAGAATATCCTTTCGAGAAAACGCGAATGTTCTGGACTGCGGGCCTAGTCCTTAATTACCGAGACAGAACAGGCATTGCGTGCCCGGACACACCAAGGGGAAGAGGTCGGTGTCTATGTCCTTCTCCTCAGGGACCTCTTCTAGAGACTTGTCTCGCAACGAGAGATGACGACGCGGCGCAGGGCGGGGCATATGCCGACCGCATAGGTTAATCAGGTTGTCTATCGCTGCTATGCGTTGTGTATATAGCTCTTCCTTAGACACTTCCCTAATATCTCGGTTCTGGAAGAGGAGCACTGCCAGTCTCTCCCTTTCCTCGAATTGGGATATAGGTTTAGGCTCTATATACTCACGAGCGATGCCGCGTCGCTGTTTATCAATGTACCTAGTCCCCGCTATCCTAAAATACTGTCGCCTGGCTTCTTCCTCAAGTTCCCGCTTCAGCCTCATCCTCTCGCTGCGTAAATGTCTTTGCTCGCTCTGGTACTTCTCGTAGAGCTCTGTCCCTGTTCCGTTCTTGATCTTTCCGAAAGTTTTAGTTAGATTTTTCCGAAGCTGAAGGCACAACTTTTGGATTTGTTGGATACCAGGGTCGCAGTCAATTGCTGAGTTCTCGACTTTTATCGAATCGGCCGCGGAGGGATCTCGGGTCAAGCTCATATGCCCAGCCAGTTTGATAAGCGCATCTTTAGAAGGCACTTCGAGGAATGCGGATACCGAGTCGAACTGGACAACGCTATTGCGGTAATATCGCTTAAAGAGACTTGCACGAGCATGGCCCATGACAAAGCTCCGCATATCTGAACCCGCTACGCCTGGAAATGATATCAGCGAGAGAAGCCATAATAAGGGCAAGAAAGAAAGGAAAAAGATACAAGAGAACTGCCGGCGTGGGAATGTACACAGAAGTGAAATTGTGCACTTATAATCAATCGATTCACCGGCGCCTCTACGATAGCTGTATAGCCCCAGAGTATCCGCAAGGCCAGCAGATTTACCAAGTCGCGCATTCTGGTAATAGAGAGTCATATATTGAATCGACCTATCTGGTGATATGGTCACCTCCCCGCCGCGAGCAACAGATCGTCGGAAAATCGGAATGTCCTGCATTGACTCTTTCCAATGTAGCTGCACACTTTGCAGGTGAAATGGGACTGAAAACGTATACAAGTCCTTAGGCCGCTTGATCCAGTCGCTTTCGAATGCGTTATCTGCAAAGGCGAGGCTTAAAACTTGCGGAATGGCGCAAAATGCGAGATTATCATCTCGCTCACAAAACACCACCTTAATCCTTTCGTAAACTTAGCTGACGTGAGGTCAAGAGGGGTACATAATACTTACGGCAGGCCCTTGTCCCTTTTGCCTTTGAGAAGCCGGAGCCTGACTCTCATAATAAACACTTATTGAGAGGGAAGCTCCGGATTCCTAACCTTAAATATCTCAATATCCTTGTACTTCAGGCATTCATTCGTGTTGTAGTAGCCCCCTCCTTCAACGAGCGTTGATGGCCTGGCAGAGGTGCCTATCATAAAGAGAATGATCGAACTATGCTGAACCCGTTCGCGCTCATGCGCATAGTATTCGTTCGATAGTGCGTAGTGGTGATATAGTAGTAAGTATACATCGTCCACATTCGTGACAGGCTTGTCTTTCATGCCTTCACTCAAATTATACTCGCCTTTGAGGACGGTGCCAATGAACTGCTCATACGTTACTAAGAGAGCGTCTCTAGAAAGGGAACCACGGCCTTACATCTTTCATATCCGAAGCGAGGACAAGGTCAAGCCGTTGGTACAACTTCCGAGCATACATCATCCGCCAGTAACGCATCAGCACATACAAGGAACTCAGCTTCGTCACGGCATGACTGTCGAGATACCAATGCATGAACCGTCGGATCTCGGCCACGCTAATATTTTGCAGGCGGGTAAGAGCATCGGGGTTAAGGATTCGGAGCGAACAATATCTAGTCAGAGTTATGGACAGTTAGTTAAGAACTTGGTAAATCTTAGCCATTATTACATACTCTGTCCCCTTCCTCCATATAGAGCGGACTCCTCTTTCTGTCGCGTCTGTGATAGGGCGCAATGCTGGGGTTAGGTCATCTGTATAGAGCGATTCATAGTACCCAGCGGAGCCATAGCGTTTGACATCATCATGCTTCCAAAATTAGCGTGGAGGCATGGAAGTTCTGAAGGTCGAGAAAACCGAGAGTTGGAAGTCCAAAATTGAACCCCCGTGTTTGAGGAGAACTGCATGGAGCAAGGATCCTGCGCTGTGAGTGGGTGTGAGGCCTTGGCATAACGGCAGGGAGTTTTGGGGCACCGCCGGTAACGAAACAGGAGCGTTTTTGCCTAGGCGGAAAACCCTCTGAAAACGGCGTCAGAAACCGCCGTTTTTGGAGGCAAGTTCGGTAGCACATAACGTTACTCCGTACTGTAGTACGGAATACTACTACGTAATTAGTTCTCCATCCCTGGCGTTGGCCTGGCGAGCATCCAGTGCCCCACTTCTAAACATTGGCGAATATGTCCTCGTACATGTGGCTTGGGAGTTGGGACTCGTCCGTCTTAGACTCTTAGTACTTCACTCGTCCTAACTAATACGGCAAGTTCTAGTACGTCATATGTCCTTGGGCGGGTCCAGTACTAGGACCATTCTCTAGGTAATACTAGGACACCTGCGGGAAGTTATACGTTGGGGTACTGCAGCTAACCCAACACATATTGACCAGTCATTGCGGGGTTCTTCTCTAGTTACCAATGATTAAACACATGATTTGCGCCTCACCTGTATGGATATAGTAGCCCAACTGCTAGTTCGCATTTCTTTTTTAACTGTAGCGTCACCGAAAAGACGAAAACGGTCGTTTATCGTTGTCAGCCTAATAGTTGGTCGCCGCTCGTAAGTTGTGAGTGGTAATTAAGTCGTAACTAATATCTCGGCCGACTATATATAGCCAGTAGTGTCGGTTCGGACCGTACTGTCGCGTTCCTTTGCGCTCAGGACTCGGGACTCGGGTGATCGGGTCCAAGTTTTAACTGACATAGAGCTCTATTCCTTGACTGGCCGGGGAAGGATCAAACATGCCTCAGGCTGTCAGGTTTCTTCATGGCTCTCGACTTTCAAAACTTTCGACTTCATTGCTTCAATTGTTTGGACAAGATAGCATTTCATATCGGCGTCAACGGTAGTTTATAGTCTGAGTACTTGAATCAGTATCGTCAGTACGGTGCTACCATCAATAATGTCTATCTTATATCTTCAATTGCTATTCCCAGAGATATCATCCCCGTTGCTCCATGAAGCTGCTAAAGTCATTTGGTTCCTCTTGACCATTGTTGAGAATTGTATAGATCTAACACGAATTTCCTCTCTACTTTATTATCCCTTTCACTAAATTCTTCCCACGGCAATCCTAGTGGCTGTTGGAGGGTGGTCGGAAGAATAGCCTTTGTCCAGACTCCTAGGAGCAAGAGATGAAGAGCGGGATGCGTACCTGCATCCTTTCCTGAGAATGAGGATAGGAGAATATTTGTTGACGGACTAACTCATCATTGAATGTACGAACCACGATCGTCTGTGTATTTGATACACTTTTCCCTGTCGCTTTGAAATTTATGTGCTCGTCTGCCTCCTCGCTGCTCCGTTTGGTCGATTTCAGAGTCGTTGTTTCGCAATCATTTTGTCATCAGGCTTATAGATTGGTCCCATGGCTTCCGCCTATTCACGGCATTTGTATCCAGGAGTGCCCAGGTTGAGAGTCCTCCAACACAGTTTAACCATGAGACCGTCGAGATTCAGCCGTGCTAAGTTTGGATAATGCGCCGCTTCCGAGCACTCCTTCTCCAATCACCGCCAGTTCAACACCGACGATGAGCCCGTCCGCTCTAACTCAGATCACGCCTTCGCCGGGAGGGTGCGCCATACCTATAACTGTGCAGTACTAAGAAGTCATCTCCTATGTACCCCAAGTCACGCTGTGCGCTCTCCCGCCCATTGCGTTCATATCTGGATCGTTTGTTAACCCGGCAGTAACGGGGCCTCCATATACGAATCATTCCGATTCGATACCATCCGGCAGAAGCACTTGCATAACCTCGTATAGCCCGACCCTAACCACGGTGTGTCATACCACGATTCCAGTCCTTCCCAGCCGTGTGGCTGTGACCCATTGCAATCAGAGCATTACCTTCTTCAGCGTTTTCCACTACATGATAGAAAATGGCCCAACGACCACCTTTGGCTCGGATATCATCACCCATCACCCATCCTCCATATGTCCGAGTCCTATCGACATATTTCGTTGCTCCTTGGCAGCAAATGATCCACCGATGGACCACCGTAAGACGTTGAGGTTGTGATCTGTACGATCTTCAGCAACGGTACAGCGACGTGTTTGGAGATGCGGGAAGTCTGGGAAGTGAGGCCAATTACAGTCACAGAGACCTTCACCCGCCACTACAATACCTCGGTCGTGTTGCCCAGTCCGGGTGAAATCCACGTGGAGAGTGTTCAATGGAGTCTGAGCGAGCCGGTTATTACATTTGCACCCACGGCAGGACTTGAGCTGCTGCGAGAAGTCGAGGTGGAGTTGACCTCGCGTGGGGAGCTATTGACCCCAAAGCCAACCACGACCATCACACTGCCACCGAAGACGCAGACGCAGGCGGTCCATCGAGTGTCAAGTTCAAGCGGATCGAACTCGTGGACTCCATCTATTCGGCTCCTTGGAAAGATACTATACCATACCAGCCGGAGTGAGTCATTTACTTACAAGCAAACTAATGGTGCAATGACTGATAATGGGAAGTAAACCGTATGATGAGCCCGCGAGTAAATCCATCAGTACGACAACGATCAGGAGTACAGTGATTGTATACCAAACTACGACTCTGCCAACCCCATGAACGTAAGACTCTAGTGACGCTGGTCTTCCGCGCAAAGCTAACAAATTAGTTGGAGCAACAACACATTCACGAGATGACCATAATAGGGGCTTACTCCATGTCTGGCACCAACAATTTTGCCACTACTCTATGGGTATTATTGTACATATTAATTTTTATTCGGGCCAGTATCTTCACCGTTGCACTAAATCAGTCTCTTTCATTCAAGTTCCAGTTCCTTTTTCTCAATTGGGTGACTTAAGAGCTACGTTCGTATTCATTCACTTGCCCCCAGATATCAATAGGATATCTTCCAACTCAAGTGAACTAAGTTCAGTCCTTCAAGTTTGCTTAAACCCCCAATCCTTCACTTCACTCACCCCCAGCTCCGCACGTGGGGGTTGACTTTCTTCTTCATCGCACCGTAATCACCTACCTCTCCTACAAACGCAACACTCCGCCATTAAGACCGCTCCCTCGTCCGTGTTTCCTCAAATTCAAAGACCTTCCATTCCGCTCATTTTCGCTTCTCTAAAAACAGCTTTCATCAGGATGATCGCCCTTGGAACAATCGCATACGTGCTGGCACTGTTCAGCGTTCTCGTTCTCAGTGCCGCGGCGCGTCCAACCGGGCTTATCGTAAGCAGGACGATCGATTCGCCTGCGAGTGGTATCAAGACATGTCTCGAGGGGGATGCGGGCTGCGCGGTGGCAAGCAATGTCGCTGGAATTCTGTTCGGTTTGGGAAGGTTGGTGCCCAGCGCAGCCAGTTCAGCGACGATATCTCCAGTTGGACATACGCCATTATTCAGCCTGTCAGTTCCTAGCCCTTCTAGCTCAACGACGATAGCTCCAGATGCCTTTTCGCCGTTGTTCGGTCTATCGATTTCGGACACTTCCCATTCAGCGACGCTCAGTCATGTCGCTAGTAGACCGTCCGCTTTTGGTCAGTGGATGTCGAGCATGGCCACTTCAGCGTCGATGAGTTCTTCTGAGAGCCGAATTTCTTACAGTTTCATATTTGTGCCGACAACTAGCTCAACGAGCTCAACGACAACTAGATCAACGACAACCAGTTTAAAGACAACCAGCTCGAAGACGGCAAGTCATGTCGCAGGCCGGCCTCCCGCTATCGATTCGACGACGACGATAACAAGCACTTCAACAATCACCGCCATCGAAACGGGTGCGCCGGAACCTCTCGAAGCAACAACCGTGTGGAAAACGATATACACGAAGAAAGCGACGACAACTACCACTAGCAACTCCTCAACGGCAAGCCTATCTGCTGGACAGAAGATGGATCAGCCCACGCCGTCGTTATTTATACCAACTTCCACAACCTCGAATCTAGCAGCAGCGTCGAGTAATTCCGTATCACCGCCTAGCATTATAATCCCACAGATTGGGTTCACTGCGCGAATAAAACCTTCCCATACTACATCCACAGAGGATCTAATGAGAGATTTCACCACCGTGACTCTCAAGCTTACCACTACAGTCCATCGCAACGAATCCACTTCCTCTCCTGCTCGCCATCCCACAACAGTCATCAAAATCCCCGTCACTGTCACCGTTACTTCAAGAACCACCGTATCCACTCCCCAACCTACTCTTACTCGTTCAACCGCAACAGCATCGCCTCCACCTTCCTCCTTCCACACCCACGACACGGATACGTCATCCACAAGTAGTAATCCAACACCGTCTACTCCAACCCTCTCCTCCGAGGCTCTTAGCACAGGTACATCATCCACAACAAGCAGCAACCCAACATCATCGCTAAGTATCGTCCCGATGGCGTCTCTCTCGAGCTTCATCGTGAGACATACGGTGACCAGGTCGATGACCCAGCCCACGGTGACCGTGACAGAGACGCTGGAAGACATCCCGCAGAAGACGTTAGAAGGTAAGTCCCGGGAGACAAACGTGAGGGTGAAACCGGGAGTACCTGCGGCCTCATTAGAGGAAATGGCCACCAGAATACCGCCAGGAAACGCTCCTGGAACCCCCCTAGAAGCGATCCCCCCCAATTCCTCGGGCGAGCCACCCAGCAGCCCTGCTGACGACTCCTCAGGCGATCAATTGGCCTCACCAACTAATAATCTCCGATTCCAAACGCGGGGCACCTACTCTGACGGCGACCCGATGTCGCGGCTAATAGCGCGACGGTTCACGAAGCGGGAGGATAACGATTTCGAAGCGAACGGGGAACTGACGCTGGCGGGGAAGATCGCGCTAGGATTGTGCGTGGGGATTGTGTTCTTGTTAGGGGTGGCGTTGTGGTATTGTACGGGGTTGTCGGAGGGAGGAAGTAATGTGTTTCGGCGAAGGCAGATGTGATGGGAGAATGCAAAGGCGACTAAGTCGTTTGTAGGGTATTGTAGTGCCCTACCATCAATGAGAGGAAGAATGAAAGGGCGGGAAAAACACCCAGTAGATTATATTTCCTTTGTTTGGCATTGCTGTCATACTACTTCTCATCTGCCTTCCCTATATCTAACATCCGCCAATCGCCTCCCCACCACCGCCCTCTCGCGGGCCCAGATCAGACCGGAGACATCGGTTGAAGACCTCCATGAGCATGGAAAAACAAATGTTAGAAATAGCCGGATCATATCGACCTTTTGACAACTCGTCGCGAATGAATGCATCTATGCATTGTTAGACGACTGTCCACTCAACCAAAATGTTTCGTTCTCTGCGGTACTCACGCTGTGCCCAAGCAACCTCGTATAAGCTGTACACGACGCCCGCATCCGTGAGCGTCTTGCGGATCAGGTCTCGTCCCGCCGGAGGGACGTGGTTATCCATTTTCCCGAAGATCTATACCAAGTCAGTGACCGAACCAATCCCACAATAAGGGTTCCCATCATCCACCCCTCACTCCTTCCACCAGGATATCTCCAAAGAAGAGCCTAATTTATCAATGCTTACCATAACCAGCTCCCCTCCAATCTCCCCCACCCTCTCCAGGCTGTCATCACACTTCCCTTTCCCCAACGTCCGCGAGTGCAAATCCGTCGCGAAATAACACACCGCCGCGCTGACCCGGCGATCCAGCGCGGCGCGGTACGCCAGGTGCCCGCCAAGACACATCCCCGTGGCGCCTATCCGCCCGTTGCATGTCGGCAGGGACAGGAGGTGGTCGATGGAGAGCGTGGCGTCTTCGTCGTAGGCGGAGACTTCCTATATAAGCGGGTTAGGGGTCAACGCAACCAATCTAATGGGTAAGGAAGGATGGGATGGATAGGATCGGTGGGGATATACGAACCTTCGTGATCTTCAACTCGTTCCCTTTGTCGGTGCCTGGCACGTCATATGCCAAGGGCTCCGAGGAGACGAATTCATGGTACGACGAGGGGGCGGCGACGATGAAGCCGTGGCTGGCGATTTGGCGGGCGAAGCGGGCAACGGGGCCAGTTACTTGGATTTGGGGTAAATATTTATGATCCACTACCTGATGAATACGATGCTGGCTTAGGGGATGACGGACGATAACCAGAAGCCCGGACAAGGTGGTGGGGCTGGTGGGGGACGTAGGTAAGGTGAGGAAGTACCTTGGTAGATTTCGCTGAAGAGAACGACGCCTGAAAACTTGGCTTGAGGGTAATTTGGTACCGTAGGATGGAAGATGAAGATTCCTTGAGGATTCATCAGTTATCTTGATCTGGATTCAATGGAGATGTTCTTATGGGTGGGTGCGGTATTACTCATATCACCACCAGCTTTAGTCGGCACATCGTGGGAGGATTCTTTGATGAGCATTTTGGGATACTGGTGATATTCTGAAAATTTGCGACTTTTGATCTTGAATTGATGGATAGGGTGAAGAGAGAGAGATGGATATAATTCCAAGATTGATATTAGAATCAGATCGATATTTCTCCGATTTGACCCCGCCAAGCTACCGTACCCAGCCGTATATACCATCGTACTTGCTACAGCTGAACCTACTTATAGACACAACATATCGTATCGTTCAATTTTTTTAGAATGAGTAATCATCATCTCATCAATTAAGCACCTATGGCCACAGAACCGGAAACCCAGGCATCCCGGACAATCTGCCGTCGATAAGCTGGTCAGGGACGAATGGAACTACCACATAATAACGCGTTGACCTTATTCCCCCACACCTGGTCCATACCGAATATAATCGGAAGAGGCGATCAAGGAGCTAAACCACACGTTGAACAAAAACAGAGGTTCAGTTTCTAATTTGAAGTTTGATTCTTTACAGATATTGTCCGTCATGCCATGCGGATTCCTCTCAAGACGAGACGGATCGGGGCTTCCTGCTGCGTCCGAGAACTTGGTGATCCCTTATCTTCTGGCCTGGTCCATTGCAGCTGGGCGGACGTCGCATGTGGATGGTGCGAGAGGCAACGTACAAGGCTGGCATTTCTCAGCGTGTAGGACCTAAAGATCTTCCCCGACAGGCCGCGGAGTCGCTCGAATGCTCGAAAGACTTTGGCTACCGGATCTAGTTGTGTCCTGCTTGCTTCTCAGCGTGAGAATATCGAAGCATGGGAGCCAGTCTCACCACCTCATCGCCATTCAGAGTTCCGGCGTCGCGTCGCCATTCTTCTCTATGGAATGCGAAGAACCATGCTAGTGGATCGATGTCGGCGCGGCTCGTGGACCACAACGTATCTTGGATTTTGAGGGACCGGCAATGGAGAACGCAGCGCGCAACTCAGCCGCTCTGAATCCTGGAGCATCGTCTTCGCCTTTCGCTTCCATAACCAGGAATAGGTAGCAAATCTCCATCTTCGCTACTGGCCAGTGTGTGATATCGCCGAGCTTGAGAACCATGTTCGGGTACCAATATCAAAATTCGCGGACCGTGGTAGGGGAATTCCCACTCACACTGCCACCATTATGATCTAAGAGACTTCCTGACGCGGACTTCTGTTCACCGGGACTCCCCAGCTCGGCCAACGGGATCATACCTCCATCCAACTCGCTGTAAACGGTAGCATCCAGTTCTGCGATAGGGGGATGAGGATCATAAAGCGCGGGTGGACCAGGTTCGTGGTGCTTCTCCATGTCGAGTCCTCTGTTGCTCGCTACGCCGCCAGCCCGTTTCTTTCTCATCGCTCGGAAGAAACCGAACCCAACTGCGCACAAGAGCAGCACGCCCAGCGTCACACCAATACCGATTCCCGCACTCACGCCGGCGCTGATTCCGGGGGGCGAGGGCATTCCCGCCGCTGGTGTTGGTACAGCCGGTAATACTACCGTTGGTACAGCCGGTAATACTACCGTTGGTACTACCGGCCCTATTGTCGTAGCCGTTATCGTTGCGATATTGGTTTCGGAGTCTAAGGACGATGTCACCGTCGGCGCCGCCGTGAAAAGCGACGTATCTTTCTCCTGAAATCGCACACGTACGGGTAAAGCCCACATATACCGCTTCACTCCATTACCGATTGTCCGCGTGACAGTTCCAACCACGGTGGAGCCCCGATATTCCTTGGCCGTCTCTGTTTCTAAAACATCGGGTCCCGGTGTGGTGAGCGAAAAACAGTCGTTGTTGGTATCTATATAGTTATAGCCACTTTTCCAGTCGGGAACGATCAGCCCGCCATCCGCGCACGATGAGAAGTTCATGGGAAACGGTACCTTGGGCAGCATGCTACAATTGTTTCGGTTGCGGACCCGATACGCTTGAGGGAGGTTTTTCGCGTCACGTATGAAATGGGGCAGACTCCAGGTGAGAAATAGAAGTTCCGGGCTGGCTCCCATCCGCCGAATCCGCTCGGAAAGCATTCCGTGGCCGATCGTGAAGGGCCTTGTTGATCGTTGGTACTGAAGAACCAGTCTGTAAAGCAGGAAGCAGGAGGTGTGAAGGTCGTAGTTAGGGCCGGTGGATCGGGCATCGTGTACTCGAATTGAGCACCAAGATAGGATAGACGGTGGGTTGTAGCGGCGATCGGTTGGTTGGTCTCAGTATTCGTCCCTTAAGCAGTCATGACGGGTCGTATAAAAGTTATAATCCAAAGAACATCTCGTGACTTGGCGTGCAAGGCTGGCGAAAGTAGGTATCCGGACAGACTTCATGGCCCGGAGGAACAGGCGGCTGACGGCCTTTTATTATGTGTGTTATTTCTGCCAAATACCAACACCCTATTCAGGATACCTCGCTCCGATCACGACTGAAGGGATTCCACCTTTTACCCGTTTTCAGGCGTTTGATTCGCCAGTTGGTATCAAACATTGCCAAGTAAGCTAACTAAGCTAAACTCCGGCCGCGTGTAGCGCCTGAGAATAGTGCTGAGTGCCTGAGATTAGCATGGCCCCTTGAAAGTCGTGTGCCGTGTACCTTGTATTTTCGTTGATCACCAAACATTGCATTTTAATCGGGCTGGTATTAATAGTACCTATCAGGTCAAGAAATGGATGCTTAAGGCATTTCGACACCGTAGCGATATCCTTCAATGTTAACAGTTTCCTCCACCAGGTGGAAGTGGATATTGACCGGTTAACTCCAGTGAGGCTTTCTTCGGCCTGGGAATCAACCTTGAGATGGGAATTGGGATTCGCGAATCAGGACAGGTACAAAATTACCAAGCAGGCAAGCACCGTCGGCCAGGCTCGTTCGTGTGCGACGGTGTGTCGTACGGGGTGATGTGGGCGAGTTGCACTGCGTGGAATTTGGGCCGGGTTCAAATCAAGGCGAAGGGGTAATTAGCCATGTTCAGAGACATGATCATCACGAGCATCACGGCCCACGGGGCATAGCGAGTTACTCAAGTGGTCAAATCAATTCCTTCTTGCTCTCTAATTGGCTCGACAGGGGCAAAAGGGGTTGGCGAACATAAATCACGTGACTTCTCATTCCCTTCATTTCCTCTCCACCACCATTCCTGATGTACCACCGTTACGGAGTACTGGTCACTCTCATTACGCCTCCGGCATGTCGTCTTCTGGAGACCCCAGTGGCAGCGTATGCTCGAACTGTAGGTCCTGGAGGGCTGATAAGGAGTTTACTTCAAAACATCGCCGACTACGTTGTTTAGCATGCGATATCTGACGACCCACTTCGCATTTCGCACGCGTCATCGCGACAGGTACTCCTGGGCCTCAGCTCCTGATTAACGTTGATGGCGAGGCGGGTACAGGCCGGCTACGGGCGTCGCAGCTCAGTCACTCCGCGTCGACACTGCATACCCTTTTTTGTCTTCCTGTTCAGGATGTCAAGTCTCTCGATCCCATCCAGCCGACTGCTCTTTAAGCCGCTTAGGCCACTTTCGGGGGTATACGGTATCTGATCATCGACGAAAAATCTATGATTGGCCTTCGCCAGCTCTCCTATATTGACCGTCGTTGCCACGAGATCTTTCCTGACGTACACAAGTCTTTCGTTGGTGTCTGTATTCTCCTCTGGCGATTTCTTCCAGCTTCCTCTAGTCTTGGCAACTGCTCTTCATAACCAGAAGAGGCATATAAAGCTAGATGAACAGTATGTGCGTAATATCTACTACCAATTCGAGCGAACGATCGAGCTTGATGAAGTCGTTCGGCAGGAGGGCAATAACGTTGAGTCGATTCAGTTCCGCCAGGCTCTCGATCACCTGCGGATAGACTCCGCAACTCGTGACGACTGGACACAACTTAGTACACGAGTACAGGCCATACTTCCGTCTGAGGAGGTGGCATCGTTCCGAGACACTCTCCGTATTTCGGTAAAAAGCGCCTGTTGCTATGTTTAACTACTGTCGTTTACGCGATCTCCGTTCTCCTGTAATGATGTGTCGAGCAATTCACGAAGGAGGGGTGAAGGCAAAAAAGTTCCAACTAATAAGGCAGGAAACCTCCATTCTGAGATTCCGATGGCGTTGGGAACCCGTATTATGTTGGCAAAGAATCTCTAGACCGAACGAGGCCTGGTGAACGGTGCGATAGGAACGGTGCGTGATATTAGCTGGTAGACTAGTGCTGATATCTATGAGGACCCTCCATCCATACTCCTCGTTCAATTCGATCGATATGATGGAGTGACGTTGGACGTAGGCGGTTTTGCTTTGGTCTCAATCCTCCCATCACGTCGCGAGTTCTATATCAGAAACACTTCCTGTTCACGTTCACAGATCCCGTTGGCCATCGCCTATGCCATCACAACGCATAAGTCGCAGGGAATGACTCTAGCACGGGCTGTGCTGGACATTTCGGAGCGGGAGTTCGCGCCTGGCCTGACCTACGTGGCAGTCTCCCGTGTGAAAACCCTTAGGGGGATCATGTTTGAGGCTCCATTCGACTTGTAGGAATTGAACCCTCGCACGGGGAGTGAGACGATGGCGCTCCGGGAGCAGGATGCGTACAGGAGGGAGAACCAGCATATTACGGCAGAGGTTTGTCTACATCATTTGAATCAATCGCGCGGTGTTGACGTAGTGTAGGATCTCCGACGGCCAGTCGGATCGTCATCCTCAATTCCGCTTCCTTCACAGGCGGCACGGTAGGGACGGAGTTTATAGCTGGGTGGCGTGGATGCGGAGGATTTCCGGAAGGCGGAGAATGAGTGCTGTAAGCAAGGTGGTTATGTGGCGCGAGATGAGGATCAAGACATCACTGTACGATCAGACGATCAGACGATCAGATGAGAAAAGAGGATCATTTGAGTTCCTAATTAGGAAGTATGCACTGGTCGCGAAGATGCCGTTTTTGAGCGATTTAACTATTTCCGTATTTCCTCCCCATGATTAAGAATACTTGATTAATAATCCTACGGGGGTGCTAATATACTCTAGAAAGGCAGAGATCACGGGCAGAAAGGCTGCCTTTATGCGCCACAGGCCTATTTTAAGGTTACTTTGATCGCCTCTGCAAGAAGGAAGTCATCAGTGAATCATAAGGTATTCGGTGATTCATGCTATGTCGAGGACCCATGAAGTCATAACGTTTTATCATGATCATTCGGCAAAGCCACGCGCCTCCTCCAGCCATGGCAATACAACCTTCGCAGGTCAATGCAATCAGTCTAGGGCATCTAAATGTAGTAGACTGGCACAACCCACTAAACTGCATGCCATGAATGGGATTGACAATGTGACACCTGCCACTAACAACATGTCGCTGAGAAAGACCAAGACGTCTCCACCACGTCCGATACCAAATCCGATGCCGTAGCCGAAAGTAGCGAAACAATCACGTCTCCTCCAGCCATGGAATACAACCTTCACGGATCCATGCGCCTGGTCCAGAGCATCTCAATATAGCGGACGGGCATAATCACCCACTAAACTGCATGCCATGGATGGGATTAGCAATGTGACCGCCCGCCACTAACAGCCGAGCGAGCTCAAGACATGTCCACCACTCCCGATAAACCCGGTGCCGTGACAGCAAGTAGAGGAAGACACACACGCGTCCTCCAGCCATGGAATACAACCTTTGCGGGTGTATGCAGGCAGTCCAGATCATCTAAATGTAATAGACTGGCACAGCCCGCTAAACTGTATGCCATGAATGGGATTGGCATTGTGGTCGACCGCTTACCCCCAACAGCATGAAATGAGAAAGCCCAAGATACCATCACCACGTCCCCTACCACGCCAACGCTGCTGCACAAATAGGGCACAATAACCACCGCCCTCCACCCCTCCTCACTCCTCCGAAACTAACGCGACCTGCTCGATTCACGTCAGCGCCACTCCACGACCAATCACGTGACAACTGTACATACCACTTCACTCCTCCATCGCGTCCTCTGGCGCCTGGAAATCGTCATCCTCATCCTCGTCCTCGTCGTCGAGGTCGTTGGCGTTCTCAGCGGCCTTGGCGAAGTCGATGGCTTTGCCTCGGGTGCGGCGGCCGGTGTTGATGATGTTGTTGGTGTCGATTTCTTCCATGTTGTCATCGTCTTCTTCTTCTTCTTCAGCTGGGGGGCAAGGTTAGTGGGTGGGCTGTTGTGGTGGGGTTGGAGGGGAGTGAGATCGGGTGGAGGGATACGAACGCTCTTCATTCTGCGAGGCGGTTAGTGATGTGCCATTTAGACAATGAGGTTGCGCGGTTAATGCGCTCATACCTGGTCCTCCTCATCATCGTCATCATCATCATCGTCTTCGTCCATCATGTTCGTGTCAGGTTGCGCGGTGGGGGCCTTTCCTTTCCCGCTAAATTCCTGGGTGTCAGGTTCGCTGGGCTTCACGCCAGCCATGCCGGGATTGATAGTGGTGCCGTTTCCTTCACCCATTTTGATTGTGGTTGGAGATGTGGTGGATGGTGAGTGCGAATTGGGTTGAGTGAATGCGATTGATGAGTGAGGATGGAAGCTGGACGGCGAGAGGTTGGGAGATGTTGTGGAGAGATTGGATGGGAAAGAGTGCTGGGTAAAGAGGAAGGTGTGGGGGAATTGAAGTGAGTGAGATGTTTTGTGGGGGAAGTGAGAGGTTTTATTTTAGTTATTAGCAGAAGTTGTTGTGGTGAAGGTAAGAGAGGAGGGTGGGAAGTGAAATGGAAGGAACGATGGAGAGTGTTACTGGGGTTCTTTCTGCTCACCGTTCAATTGTCGGCCTTGTTGCCTAAGGGTCCAGGCAGTAAGGAGTCACGACGTTTAATTGGTTACACGAGACAGGGGTCTAGAACGCGTCCCTCGCGTCGCGTGTCAATGAGTCGGAAATCGACAATTGAAAACAGATTATGACCTCCAGGATCGTTTGAAGGCTCCCATCGTCGTCAATTACAGAGTGATATTCCCAAAATTTCGTCAATATGGCTAACCCAGGTCGCCTACGAGGCCGTCCAGCACGTACGTATCGCTCCCTCCCATTCAACCACTCTCACTAACAAGCCCAAGACACGCCTGGCCCGACATATCTGAGCTATACGCCGAACGGAAGGCATTTGGTCACTGTCGGGCTGAACAATGCCATTCGAATCTTCCAGTCTGGCTCAGATTCCGAGCCGACGAACATCGATAACTGTCAGGAATCTAATTTTGCCGTGGCAGCTGCGGTACGTTGGCTGTAGAATCATACGATCGGACCCCGCACTTACAAAGTTTGCAGAATGGTTTCTTTATCACGGGATCGGAGGATGGCACCGTGTCGAAGTACTCTATGCAGTCGAATACGTTGGAAGAGGTCTTAGTACGGTGCACGTTGCCAGTGCGAGATGTTGCGCTGTCGCCAGATCACCAATGGGTGGCTGTAGCAAGCGAGTAAGTCCGCCACACATACCTTGAGAACCGGCTGACAATGGCAGTGAACTTGTTGTCAAAGTCGTCAATACGGAAGATATGACCCGCGTATTATACCTCCGCGAGCAATCGAAAGGTTCTAAACATGTCTCGTTCGACCCGTCCGGCACATGTCTTGCAGTGTCCTGCTCAGACGGCATCATCTACATATACTCCATGAGCTCGGAGGAACCGCAACTGGTTAAAAAGGTCGATGGTGTGGTCAAATCTTTCGAAACGGACTCCGAGTCAAGCGCTGCCGTCCTCTGGCATCCTGATGGACGAGCATTCGCCGCACCGACCGGTACCCGAGATATCCAGGTGGTTTCCCAGGAAGACTGGGCCAACCAGAAAGTCTTTTCGAATGGACATACCGGAAATATTACTGCACTTGCTTGGTCGCCGAATGGGGCATTCCTTGCCACCTCAGGAGCAGACCGCAAGTTGATCTTGTGGGATGCTCTGAAACAAACCGTCGCCCATGTCTACGACGATATCCCCGCGACCATCCTCGCTCTCAAATGGCATCCAGGGGAGAACATCCTTTCGTACACCACCAATGAAGGCGAACTGTTCATTCGCCCGAACTTCGTACCCAGTGAGCTATCCTTTGCTCTTCGAGAGGGCATCAAGCCTGCACCACTGCTCCATGATACTCTAGGTGGCGCGAAGCAGAATGGCATCAATGGAACTAAGCCAAACGCGGGACCTCCACGGCGCAGAGATGGCACCCCCGACACGCTCGACGAGATCATGGGATCGGATCTTGGATCGGATCTTGGTAGTGATGTTGGTTCGTTGAATGGCTTCATCGACGACGATGACGGCGCGGGCTACACCGAGGGGTTGAATGGGCATGGCAAGCGAACAAATAGCCATCTCGACCCCGTCGACACCAACCGACCGAAAAAGCGATATGGAGGGTATGGAGGATATGGCGGCTTCGAAATCCAGCACCACGAAGCCTTTCAACCCGGCAGCACATCATGGCGCGGCAACCGCCGCTACCTCTGCCTCAACCTCATCGGCTTCATCTGGACCGTCGACCAAGGAACCCACAACACTGTGACCGTCGAGTTCTACGACCGTGAATTCCACCGCGACTTCCACTTCACCGACCCCTTCCTCTACGACAAAGCCTGCCTCACCGAGCACGGCGCCCTCTTCGCCTGCCCTCCCTCCGCCACCCAACCCTCCACCATCCACTACCGCCCCCACGAAACCTGGACCGCCCGCACCGACTGGCGCACCCCGCTCCCCGCTGGCGAACACGTCACCTCCATCGCCCTGAGCGACGCGTACGTCGTCGCCACTACCTCCGACCACTATGTGCGCATCTACTCACTGTTCGGCGTGCCGCTCCGCGTGTACAAGCAGAAGAGCTCGCCGGCCGTGACGTGCGCCGCGTGGCGGAACTACGTGATGACGATCGGGAACGGGCCGCCGCGCGCGGATGGGTTTTGTAGTCTGCTATATTCGATTGAGAATGTGAAGCGCGATGAGGTGTGTCAGATGGAGGACATTGTAGCGGTTGACGAGCACGCGAAGTTGCAGAGCGTATTCTTCTCCGACTCAGGGGTATACTTCCCCCTCCTCCATTTCCATCGAAATTCCATAACATAGCTAACGTTTATCTCAGGATCCCTGTATCTACACCAGTAATGGCCTCCTCCTCACCCTCCTCCACTGGCGCCTCCCCAATCAAGCCCGCTGGACCCCCCTTCTCGACACCACCCACCTCCCCCGCCTCGCCTCCGGCCTCAAAGACGAAACCTACTGGCCCGTCGCCGTCGCCCACGAGAAATTCCACTGCATCATCCTCAAAGGCGGCGAGCGCTCGCCCTACTTCCCGCGGCCCCTGCTCTCCGAATTCGAGTTTTCAGTGCCACTGTCTACCCGCCCGAAGGCGAAGACGGCTGGTGGAGCGGATGGGGAGGAAGAACCTGACGTCGACGAGGCCGCGCACCTCGAGCAGCAATTCGTAAAGAACTCTATCCTCCTCTCCCTCCTCGACGACATGCTCTCCGCGACACGGGCCACCTCCTCTCAGCGCGCGGAACTCGGACGGCGGGAGAACGAAGTGGACAAGGCGGTGCTGCAGCTGGTGGCGGTGGAGTGTCGGACGGGGGAGGAGCGGGGGATGAAGGCGCTGGAGTTGGCGGGGTTGCTAAGGGATCGGAGCGGGCGGATGATGGAGGCGGCGGAGAAGATTGCGGGGCGGTATGGGAGGGACGGGTTGGGGGAGAGGATAAGGGGGTTGACGGAGCGGCGGTTAGTGGGATGGGAGGAGGAGGAGGGATAAGATTTTCTTTAGGGGTGGAGGTATTGGTTTGGGTTAGGTTGATGGGTGGTTTGGGCGTTTCGTTTATGAATTGCTTATTTGGAAGCAGCGATTATGTTCCACGACCTCGCTGTAGTCGGTTCTGGATCTTGGTAGATCCCACGTCTAGAAATATTCATACAAGATCTCCAGACCCGTCTGCTCTCTGCAACCTTCCTAAAGCCACGTACAGACTGCTTCTTCCCACGGCTTGATTTTCCGAATCTCCTCCACGTTTCCCTCCACCCCTTCCTTATGCCGTCGCCTTCGTATCCGCCGTCTTTGCCTTCGTCGTCGGAAACACCAAATCCTTCGACTGATCGTTATCTGCGAAAATCTGCTTTCTCCTCTGGTGCACCGGGACGACATTCGGGGGGGTGCCGGGGATGACTTTTTCCAGTTTCTGGCACACGAAATATGTCAGCTGGGGAAGCAAATTCAGGCGGGGAGGAAGCGGAGGTGAAGGTGAAAATGGAGAGGAGGTTGCGGCAGATATGGGATGATAGGACTTACGAGGTTGTCGAACACGCACTTGTTGAACGGGCGTTCGGCGGTGCGGCAGTTCCACATTTGTTGATTGTTGTCCTCGAGACATTGCCAGTGGGCGCGGAATTGTTGGAGGCAGTGCTTATTGATATCGTCGATCCTAGTATCCCCCACCCATCAGCATGTTCCGAGCGATGTAGGATAGTGGTCAAGCAATTGTACTCACACGCTCGCCGCACACCGCGTGACCTTCCTCCCCTCGCGCATGCAATCCACCTCCCCCGTCCCATGCGCCTCCGTCTTACACTGCATATAGTCATCATTATATGCCCTGCATCTTGCGCCGATGAAGAACGACGCGCTCATCAACGGGGCCGAGCTGGCTCCGATCTCCTTGACCTTGGGGATGTGGTCCGGGAGGGGGGTGGTGTCGATCAGGACCTGTTTGTGGAATCTGCACCGGTCAGTAAGATGGCATTGGGGTGCTAGGGGGTGTAAGAGGGGAATACCGAGCTTCGCGAGACGCCATGGTGGGCAATTGGGGGGGATGGAGTGGTGGATGGAGGAGGAAGCTGGAGAAGTGACGATGAAGTCAATGGAAGTCCATGAAGTCAACGAAGTGAGGTTGAATTGTCTCGTTGCTGAGAGGTCGACGGGAAGTTCCGGGACAGGGATGTGGGAAGCTCTTTCCTTGTCACTTCTTTAGAGGTGAACTTTGTTGGACTCGATGCATCGGAATTGTATGACACGTCCGGAAAAGACGCGTCCATTCATTGAGATACCACCTTCTAACTGTGTTTCTTTCTGCTACTCGTTAATACAATCACCTACCTCAGCAGGAATCCATTGAACCCTTCCACATCTTTCGACGTTACTCCCTTTTACATCTTCGCGAACCACCCATTCCACCACAAAGCAACAATGAGTTTCGCCGGTTTCGGGACTCCCGCGAGCACTGCTGGCACCGGATCCAGCCTTTTCGGAGCATTAGGAGCAGGCCAGCAGAGCAAACCGCCCATGTCCAGTCCCTTTGGAGCATCGGCAGGAACTCCTGGTAGCACTAATACGGGCTCCAGTCTTTTTGGGAACGTAGGAGCAGGACAGCAGAGCAAACCGCCCATGTCCAGCCCTTTTGGAGCATCAGCAGGCCAGGCTCAGGGACAACAAAATAAGCCGACATTTAGTCTCTTCGCCCCTCCGACTCAGCAAGGACAGCAGCAAGGACAGCTGCAAGGACAGCAGCAACAACAGCAGCAACAACAGCAGCAACAACAGCAGCAACAACAGCAGCAGCTGGGCGGTAGTTCTTTCAATCTTGGACAAAGTCAACAACCACAGCAGCAACAGCAGACAAACAATGGCATCTTCGGTGGCTCCCAAAACCAAAACGCCAATCCTCTCGGCGGATCCCTCTTCGGCGCCTCCATCCTAAACAACCAGCCTCCCCAACAACTCCAACAACGCGCCGTCCCCCCTCTCCCCCAACTCGGTCAAAGCCACCTCTGGCAACCCGCCGCCAGCCAAAACCTCCGCGAACGCAGCATCGTCGATCAAATGTCCGTCCTCTACGAAAAATGGCTCCCAACCTCCTCGAACTGCGCCTTCCAACACTACTTCTACAACCAAGTTCCCCCCGAACAAGCACCCTTCTATGGTCCCGCCCCCGACGAAAACGGCAAGAAATGGGAAGATGCCCTCTCCCGCAAACCCAACGAGGGCGCCATCCCGGTGTTGGGGAAGGGCTTCGAATCCATCGCCCAGCGTCTGGAATTGCAGATTCTCGCCGTCCGTGTCCTCCAGCAACGCCTCCACGAAATTGACGCCAGCCTCTCCGCCACGCAGCAGAAGCATGACCTCGAGTTCGCGACGCGCGCAGCGGAGGCACGACGAAAGCATCTCGTCCTCAGCCAGCGGGCATTGGCGCTGGCAACGAAGGTGCAAGTATTACGGAACCGCGGGTATAGCATGGAGCCGGCGGAGGAGGAGTTACGGAGGCAGCTGGCGACTCTGGAGAAGAGCGCGTTTGATCCGGTGTTGAGTGGGAGGCAGGATGAGATATGGGCGCGGATGGCGGCATTGAGGGCAAGGACGAGGGGGTTGAAGGAGGAGGGGGAGAGGTTGGGGAGGAGGGCGGAGGGAGGGCAGGAGGTGGCGATGGATGAGGAGACGTTGAAGGCGGTGAAGAAGGTATGTTTCTTTTCTTATCTGCAAATCAAGATGGAGGTTTACTTACTGACTGGTGGCAGTTATTGGGCGATTACGATGCGCAGCTCACGCATTTACGCAAAGAACTGGGGTCGATTAATGAAGACTTCAGCACGTGGCAGGTCTCCTCTACCCAAGCGGTGAATCGATAGTACCATTCCTTCGTCTCTCCGTGGCGTATCCACCTGATGTGCGGTTCTTGGTACTAGGCTATAGCATCGCTCGGCGTTGTTGGGAATGATTCAAGGGATGTGCAGTCGAAAGTGTATTTTGGGTATACAGTCTACGACGACGCCATAATGACAGGAGGCGAAATGCTATGGTACAAGGCTGGAAGTAATCCTCATGTCCAGCTCATGGGCTCCGTGATGATTGTCCGTATCCCCTGCTGATTATGTCTGGTATACACCAACCATCCAACCAACTCCCCGCATATCCATTGTATTGTCCAGTACTATATCGTACACCCCAGCTCTTCCCTATCTCAACCATCTGCTCCTCAGAACAGCTTCGTGAAATACTCGATCGCGTGCGGCGCTGTTCAAACCCATTAGCTCCCCCCTTCTACTCCCATTATCCCGTCACATACAGATATACAGTATCGCACACAACCCCAATGCAAACGACACCTCCGCCTGTGCCATGCGTTCCTGCAACTGCAGCAACATGTCAGTTAATGTCACTCGTCCGCGGATGTATCGGAGAACGTACGGCGAGTTGGTCCTTTGAAGGGGCGGGTGGGGCTGTTGGGGTTAGTTTCTGTTGGAGGATTGGAGGAGGTGGGGAACTTACCTCCGTACATCATCTTGAAGATTGGGTTGAGGGGTTGGTTGAATGATGGATGGGTTGACTGGATGTAGTTCTGGCGGTTGTCCTGGACTTTCAGAAAGTTTCAGGGCGTGACGGAGTTCGAGGTCTTGGTAGATCTTCGGGTAAACTGCAACACGTCAATATATAGTTGCCTTAGTGCCGTATCATAATTGTTCCTCAGGCATCCAATCTCAACAAGGAACGCATGGAATTTGTTTGAAGCATCAACATCACGTCCCCTACTCTCCTCACGACCTCACTATCACCACCACTCTGATACCTCTAAATCTTCACATCTCAAAATGAGCGACTCCGAGTCCTCCCAAGAGCGTCAAGCTCCATCTCCCTCCCAAAATGGCGATCTCAGCGCCGCCGCCACCCCTAACGCACCCTCAACCAACAACCCCAAAGACTCCGATATCGACGACAACGCCTCCGATATTTCCGACGTTGAATCTGTCCTCTCCGACATCGATGAAGCCCTTATCCAAGACTTCGACCCCTCCAAAGTCGCGCTCGACGAGCACGCCCCGGTCGCCGTCGACGAGACCAACGTCGCCCAGCTCGGCGTGCACAAGCGCAAGCGCACCGAAGGCGACGAGGAGCCGGCGAAGCGGAAGAGGAAAGAGGGACGGCGGGAGAAGAAGGTAAGGAGGAAGAAGGATGAAGAGGAAGAGTTTGAGGGGGGGCCGCAGATGGAGGGAAGTCGGAGAGAGAGGAAGAAGAAGGGGGAGGGGGAGAGGAAGAGGGGGAGGGTGCAGAAGGAGGTAGATACGGATGAGGAGCAGTTAGAGCCAAAGGAGAGGAGGAAGAGGGCGTTAGATCGGAAGATGGATGAGGCACTGAAGAGTACGTCAAGGCGAGGGAAGCAGTCGGGCTTGGTAAGAATCTACCAACGAATTTGAGGCGCCTACAGATACTGATCGGTTCCACAGGAGTTCGAAGCGATGATCGACCGCGAGATCGAAAACATGCGCGGCAAAATGATTGAAGCCGCCAAAGCTGACGCCGAAGCCCGCGAAGCTAATAAGCCCGCCATCCACAAACTCGAGCTCCTCCCCGCCGTAATCGGCCTCCTCAACCGCGACAAGTTCGGCTCCGAGCTCGTCGACCCGGACATCAACCTGCTCGAAGCCGTGCGCTTCTTCCTCGAGCCGCTCGCCGACGGGAGCCTGCCCGCCTACCAGATCCAGAAACAGCTGTTTGACGTGCTGGAGCGACTCCCGATCAAGACGGAGTCGCTCACCTCGTCGGGCATCGGGAAGGTCACGCATTTTTACACGAAGAGTAATCGCCCCCAGGCGGATATCAAGCGCCAAGCCGACCGCCTCGTCGCCGCATGGACTCGTCCGATCCTCCGCCGCAACGCCGATTTCCGCAAACGCGACATCCAACAAGTCCAATACGACCCCAGGTACGCCTCCCCCTCCCCATCTTTTTTATATGCTTTATACTAAACCCCCCGCAGCCACCACCCCACCCCTTCCTCTGCCGACCTCTCCGCCGACCTGCAAGCCCAAGCGGCCGCGCGCCGCCGCGAGCAGCTGCTCGCGACGCCGACGTACATGAACCGCGCACGCGTGGAGAACAACGCGGCGAGCTACAGCGTGGCGCCGCGGAGCAACTACGTGCCGGTGCAGGCGGCGGAGAGCGGGGGCGGTGATGTGATGAAGAGGATTATGGCGAGGCATGCGGTGCAGAGTGGGAAGGCGAGTCGGAAGAGATGAGGGGGGTGGTAAGTTCTTTTGTGATGGGTGAAGGGTGGTGGGTTCGCAGGAGGGTCTTTGCGTGGGAGCGTTTCTTATGAAGCTAGGTACTTTTGAAGCTGGCGTATTCGTTCTCGATTCCAGGCAGTCCAATGGAACTTGCTCATTGGGACGAGAAATCTATGTTTTCCAACAAACTGACCTGGTGAAATGTACAGCTAAGCTCATCCCTAGTCCTCAACAACATCTAAGCCAGATACCGGATTCCGTAGATATCTATTCATCGACTACATTTGGAGTAGAAAAGGAATTATCCGAAATTGTCCTGTTGAATTTTATTACATGTAGGGGAGACAGGTATATTCTTCGTCTCCATCCAGCAGCTTGGGTCCTAATACTTGACATCGCTGAGGACCAACCGATGTCTACCAAACAATGTAGAATATACCACACATCATTTACATTGCGATCAACTACAAAATGGTACTATTGTGTAATATCATATTAGCCGTGGGTTATGGACTCCGGACCGGTCATCCTCCAGTCCAGCTTCAGAAGCTCAGATAGATTGGTTATGCAGACAATTCCAATATCGATTCGATATCCACGTACAGTACATACCCTGTGGAAGAACTTCATTACCCGTATGGAAGTACATAGTCCTGAATAATGCACCATACCATCCATCTTCAAACTCCTACTAGATTCCCACGTCATCACGAAATCACGAAAAAGCCCAGGTGCCCAACTCTGTTCCGAGGACCAACGGCAAAGGAAAACCAATTCTGCACGATTCAGAGCCTCTCACAAGAAAAGCGATCGGCACCAGCTGGTACCTCGATTGGCCGAACCAATCGGCTCAAAGGATTGACGGAGGGACGGCAGGCTTGTCTGTGCAGCGGATAATAATGTTCACATCGACCTTGCTTAGGTTTAGTTCCGTTAGCTCGATTGCACTCCTCACCCAAAGTTCACCACCCAAGAATCCAACTGAGCCGAATCTTGAACCTCGTTCCTATTCCTCCATCATCCATCATCAATCCTCTCGTCCGCGTCTCGTGCCCCCACCATCCCCCTTTGCTGCCCCGGTTGACATTCGAAGGTCAGAAGTGCTAGGTTGTTGTGGATTGGTTCCGAGGTGTTGAATTGCTGGTTGCGTGTGTTGAAGAGACGCAATGGCGCCGATTCCGGAATCTAAGGTCGATGACCTGAAGAATTTGGTCACGAGGTTAGAGTCGAGAGTGGCGGAATTGGAGTCTAAGTTGGCTCATAAGGCGCCTTCATCGACGTCGGAATCGATGAGGATGATTTTGATCGGACCTCCGGGTGCAGGTATGTAGACTTTGCCCAGGACAGCTTACATCTTCGGGTCAGCGACGTCGTCCACGCATTTACGCGGGGCTGGAGATCGTTATGTTTGTTTCATTATCGGAATAGAAGCTGACATGAGTTATCTACAGGCAAGGGAACCCAGGCACCAAGAATCAAGGACAAGTACTGTGCATGCCATCTGGTAAGATTCGGTGGTCATGACAGATGGTGCACCCGCTAACATCCTGTTAGGCTACCGGTGACATGTTACGAGCCCAAGTCGCAAAGAAAACCCCCCTCGGCCGAGAAGCTAAGAAGATCATGGATGCCGGTGGGCTAGTCAGCGACGAAATCATGGTCAACATGATCAAGAGTGAGATCGAGACGAACCCGGAATGCAAGAGCGGGTAAGTCCTTCAGGAGCCGAACGCATCACCCTTCGACATGAACATCCATTAACATCTCTCCAGCTTCATCCTCGATGGCTTCCCCCGCACTGTCACCCAAGCCGAAAAACTCGACGAGATGCTTGCCGCCCGCAAGCAAGCCCTCAAGCACGCCATCGAGCTCCAAATCGATGACTCCCTCCTTGTCGCCCGCATCACCGGCCGCCTCATCCACCCCGCCAGCGGCCGCTCCTACCACAAGATCTTCAACCCCCCCAAGGCCAACATGACCGACGACCTGACTGGCGAACCCCTCATCCAGCGCTCCGACGACAATGCCGAGACCCTCACAAAGCGGCTGGCAACCTATCATCAGCAGACAGCCCCGGTTGTTAAATATTATCAGCGGACCGGGATTTGGGCGGGTATCGATGCGAGTCAGGAGCCGGGGCAGGTGTGGAAGAATATCTTGGGTGTGTTTGGGGAGAAGTCGCAGCCACACGGCATCTTGTCGAGGGTTGGGCTGAAGGCTTAGAGCCGTCGGCCCGTCCGCGTTTGGCTGGCATGCGAGAGTTGAATCCATTGTCTAATATTGAGGAATCGATGCGTGGCTGGTGGACGCGGCTGGTGAGCGGCTGGTGAGCGGCTGGTGGGCGGCTGGGGCTCGCGAAGGGGGCGGCTGTGCGCTCGACGTCGACCGTACTCCACCCCCCACCCGCTTGAGCCTCCCGCCTGATTGATGCGTACAAGTCTTCTGTATTTCATTTCCGCTCTATGGGCTCTGCTCTCTAGGCACTGCACGGCAACCACGCGAAAAAATGCGCAATGTAACACTAGGGACCACGGAACGTGGAGCGTTGTATCGAACGAAGGCCGGCCTGCCTCTGCGCCTGATTAGGTGTGGGGTGGGTTGGATGTATGTTCACGCTGTATGGAGTTTCGCCGTTGTGAGGAGAGGCGGGCTTCTGCAGTTATGTTTTGCCAATGAAAGAAAAGTACAGGTTTCATAGAAAAGCACGGTTGAGAATAATTTGCGATCTATATAAGCAGTTAAGGGTTCCTCTACCAACTTGATAGAGGGCGAGTGACATTGTGACTTCTATGATACATGGATTAGATTTATTTGTTATGGCTGATGGTGTGAAGACTCCTTGCGCTGCTCATTCCATTGTGACACACTGTTCATCAATATCACCAGGTCTGGCAGTCTATCCTGCCTACAATTATGAGAGGTTCACAGGCTGAAAAGTATCTAGAAAACTGATGATGATGAATATCCACTGCTGAACCTCCTTGGGATTCCCACGTGCTCTGGAAACGCCGCAGAGTCATTCACCCAGTCCTCCTGAACTTATGACATCCAGTTCGCCAACTAACTAGGCCTCCACGGTTAATATTCACTGTGCGATTACCACGTGCCCCGAGCGATAGTGTGCGGACCCCCAGATCCAGTCCTCATGGCCTTTGGCACAATTGCAGACCATGGGGGAACATGTTCTAGTAATATTCACTGTGCGATCTCCACATGCAGAGGACGACCAAAATTTCTGGGCGAGGTCCGGGGAGGGCGTGACATGCCACTACGGGCTTGTCCTTCTCATCCGCAAAATACCCGCGAAATAGTGACAGCCCCTGAGTAGACACTGAAATGGGTGCCTGGCCCATTGGGAAATGAATCGAGCAAAGTGGAAGTGACGTGGATTTGCACATGGAATTGACCTAATGCTATGGACTCGATCAAGCCATCTGCCGTATGCCCACGAAATGCTGTCCATGGCCGTAGTTCTGGTCGATATTGGGCTTCCACCGATCCTCCCCTGATCAGCATGGTGAAACTCTTGTGATGAAGTAAATTCGTCTTCGTGAGCTCCTCTGCAGATATTCACAGTTCGCTGCACTCGTTCAGAACTCAATTCCGTAACTGTTTCAATTGTGGATGAGCATTCTTCGCACACTGTTTTCGTTCCTCTTCTGCGGCTTCGTCCTGAATCTCTTTCACCATCCTTCCCAATCTCCTATCGCACAACACCACCTTCTGACTCAATCAATAACCATCCTACTCTTTAAGAAACTTTATACTGCTGCACTGATCGCCATCATCTTCGCGAAGAACTGCAGACATTGATTGAGCTCTTTTGCTTCGAGAGAAATCATCGACTGGTTGTCTGTTGCGACCACTTCCCGACATCTCCGCCTTTTCTTCTTGAAAAACATTGCGTTATTCCCCCAATGCTCCTTATCATCATCGACTAATAATGTTTTAACCCCCGATCGTTTTCTTGCCTTCCGTACTTTCTCATTGTGGGGGAGGACTGTTGGTTTGACCGAGTTGTGGTAGCGTCAGAGCTGCACACCACTATTTCGTTCAACCGGGATAACCCAGAAGAACGAGAATTTCGTTCAATTAGCATCGAACAGGAAGCTGAAAGCCCCTTTGTAGCCGCTATGGGGAAAAAAGGAAAGAAAATGGTAAGTTGTGCGTTCTAACTCACTGACCTCACTGTCGCGTGGGTCGCACTTTTCTGTTCGGCCGCTCACCGGCGGAATGTCCCGATGTTGACGGCGATATCTCAATCACTACGAACCCAGTGTGAGAGACCTCAATCGCTAACAATTCCCCGTGTCACCTTTAGGTGAAGAAGATCCTGCTGAGGAAAAGATCTGATGAGGGGCTCACTCCGATCGCTACGTTGGCACGGGGGGAGAATGCGTTTGAGACCCGCCTCTATGAAGTAGCTCGGGGACAGGCCCTCAGGTACGTCTTTCCATGCTGTGTCCGAATTTTCGGGCTTTGTGCGATTGTCCAGCGATGCGATTGTTGGCTTGCACATCTTTGTGAAATGGGACTGACAGTCATCCAGCCCACCACCCCCGATTCCCACCTACCAGCAGCCCGCGCAAGCGGCCCGTCTGCCCAATAATGATGTATTCTTGCAGCAGTAAGTTGCCCTTTGTGTTCCCAGCCTTTTTGGACCCTTCAACTCATATTCAGGGGCTGCACGTGGTGTAAATTGAACGGCCACAATGCTGAAAGTTGTCCTAGCGCAAATGATCGGGAGGCCCATAATGAGGCTGTGAGGATGCGGCAGCACCCACATGATCTCCAAGTCGCCGAGTTCTCGCGAGATCCGTTACAGTATAGCTACTCTCCGGAGGAGATCAACAGCCATCAAGAGCGAGTTGCGGCGCGCGAGGCAGCCGCGAGACCTGTTAAAGAGGCCAATACCAAAGCCAAAGCGGACAATGCTTATACGGCAGCAGGTGATACGTATAGCGAACCATACGTTCCTCAAGATGCAGGAGACCGCCGTCAAACGCCAAGAGATGGGCCAGTGAGGTATGCGTCTCTCGGAGAACCAGGGCAGCTCTTTCCGCCGCTGAGGCCGGACTTGGAAGTGATTCCCCCTGACTCCCCACGTCAACCACGCCCACGTCCACCACCGCCGCCTCCACGGCCCCGTCCGCAACCACAGCCGCCTAACCCACCTCCTCCATCCCCTGCTAAGGGACAGGCCTTGCCGAAAGCCACTGGACCGCCGCGAGAATGCGAGGAGCCTGAAGAGGCTTCCACTGACGATTCCCGCCAACCTCACCAGCGCCCTCCTCCTCCGCTGCTTCCCCGCCCCCGGTCACAACCACATCCTCCGAACCCACCTCAATCCCTGGCTCGACAAGGGGCTTTTCCGGAAGCGAGGGGGCCACCACCTAACTGTGAGCTTCCTGATATTCCAGGAAGTACGCAGTCGCTGCATGATGGAAGTCCAAAATTGCCAATCCTTAGATCTGCCGAAGCCGAAGAATCTCAAATCGGAGACACGACTGGGCAAACAGTCCCAGTCGAGGTGCCGACGGATGCAGCTTTGAGAGAACAAGTGGTTCGAGCTAGACGGAGTGAGGTTGCAAGTGTACAGCGAGAAGAGCCGTACCGAGACTCTGTTTTGTACGGAGGGCTGAACTCAGCGTTCGACACCTATCATCAGTCCCTAAGGCTGATTGATGCTCCGCCCCTTACTCCTAGTGTGCCGAGTACACCGGGCTCGGCACCTTCCCCCTCGTTCGGGACGTTGCCGGAGGATGAGGAACGTCCTCTAAGTTTAGGGCAGATGAAGTGGAGTTGGTTTTCTCAAGAGCCGCGCACTCCGATCGATGCAACGAGCAGTCAAGGGACAGGCCCAAACATACCAGTGCAATGGTGGCGCTCCCCTCCTCAAGTACCCAAAACTCCGAGCTATGCATCTAGTAGCCAGAGAGGCAAAACTTCTAGCGATGCAACTAGAAGTCAAGGAAAGACACCAGCACGAAAACGTACCAGACTGACTCTTCCTTTCCTGAAGTCGGCTGCGGATCCTAGTACGCAGCAGAAACCGTGGATTAACAAGCGGTCAATCTCCAACCCAATTGGCCTTCCGAACCATAAGATCAAGATTCGAGGGGAACACCACGAGATTCCACACGGCTCTAGTCCTCTCACGCAGACACCCCGTGGGCAGCGCCCGCATTTGAGGGCTTCGAGGACCACGACCAACCTCAAGGAATCAGCGAGCGGACAGCCAATGCCGTTCTCGTTGCAAAACAATTTGAGGCGAACTCGTACCAGTGAGGCGCTCCGGGGTGCAGAACCGCCCCAGTCCTCTCAACCATGGCCTTCCAATCCTGTTCCTCCTCCGCCGCCAGCACAGTTAAGACGTGTGGTGACCGAACCAGAAGTTCCGGTCCCTCTGGAACCATCCAGGCCAGTCGAGTTCTCTGAAAAATTGCTGGAAGCAATCGATCAAGTAATCAGGCAACGGGAGCTCAAGATGACTCAGGACTTCCGGCGTGGCCTTACTCAGTCCACCGAGAACGCGATTGCTAAGTTCATAGAGAATTGGGAGCAACAGCACGCCGGGGAGAACCAGCCCGGTCTGCCTGCATCCCAAAGGTCAATCGAGCCTCATCCCGAAGTGGAGGGAATCCATATCACTCCCGACTTTGGAGAAAGCCCCCGACTACTTCGGCCAGTGTCTTCGATTGGGCTAAATCGTCCAGTCCCTCGTCCCGCATCGCCGATTTCGTTAAATCAACCAGCCCATCGTCTGGCTCATTATGCACATCAATCATTCCTCCCTCATCCATCACTCGCAAATGGACAAGACTTGGATGGAGGTAGGGATATTCGTCCGGCGCTCCGAATAGCAACGGCACCACAAAGCTTCAATCCCGGCTTCGCCAGTGGGACGTCAGTTCCAAGCTCTTCGCAAAACCGTGGTCCACCGCCTGCTTCCCTTCCTTACGACCCCCTGTATGATGAGGAGAGAGAATATTTTCCAGTTCAGTCACCCATCCCGAGACATTGTGCAGCCATCCATCGAGCTGGCGGTCATGGGTTCACTTTCGACCAGCTGTACGATGAGGATCAAGAGTCTGCAGTTCCGGCACCCCTTCCGAGCCCATTCGCGGCCAACCCTGCAACTGGGACTCGGGCGCTGTCCGACCCTCAATACGACGGGGAGGATTGGGATGGTCCCGAAGAGTTGTCGCTGGACCTTACTCGAGGATCTCCGGTTCGTAGGCCGCGTTTCGTAGTGGAACAACCCGATGAATATCGTTCTCCCACACCAATTGATCGCGAGCGTACGCCACGGCCATCCATCGCTCAGCAGCGAGCCTTCGCACAAGTTGAGCCTGCCACGCCAAGTCATCCATTGGAGACTGCATCAACGACACCACTCGGTTCACCCTTCGCACCGCGACAGTATGAATTTGATTCCAGCAGTGATTCCGAGTCCGAAGGGGAGAAGACACCGCGTGCATCTCAACAGAATCTTCGCCCAAGTGGAATTCAAGAGATGCCGCCATTTGACCCTGAAGCCGCAGATATTCCCCGCCCCTTAACAATTTCCCGGGGGGAATCTGAGAGCCCAACCTGGTACCGCAGTGTCGCACCACCGTCGGATCAATCCGAGTTGTCAATCCCAAGAAATCGCGGTGTTGTCCAGAGAGATCCCCAGCCTCAGCCGTATACGGCGGTACATGATAATAGTGCTCCGAGTGGCTCTGAGACTCCGATTCCTTTCCTTCTGAGAGGGGTCGGCTCTTCTCCAAAAGAGCCCCCGCCTCAGTCGGACACTCGTGTGCATGGCAATATTTCTCCGAGTGGCATTCAGTCTCCGTCACGCGTTCCGGGACGATTCAGTGCTACTCCACGTAACGAACAGCCCCGTTCAGCCAATCTTGCCCAACATCGCGAAGCCATTCAGCCAAGCTCCGATGAGTCGCGCGGTGCATATGAGCCATGGTTCAAACCGTTCACAGATATTCCGGCTTTATCTGACCGTTTTCATCCACGAACCGACACTGAACGAAAGATCTGGGAAGATGTCGACAGGGAGATCATCGAGCGACAAGTCCGCACTGATCCCACAGCGCGGGGCAGTCCACGAACTAGGATGTCATTCTGGAGAGGCGAAGGTGTTCCGGCTCCTGAATCGCCCGCAACAAATTCAGGAGGCCGAGATGAGACTCTGGCGAAATTGGAGGGCCGATGGGTGGAGTCCACTGGATCTATAATTCCACGTTACGTGTTCACTCCGCAGAGTCCCGCAGCAAATATATCTCCTCCGGCAATCCCACGATTGGGGCGTCTGGGGTTGGCTCCGAAGCAAAACGTAGCGACCGGTGCGAATGTGGGTGGCGGACAGAATGCCTGTCCCGGGCAAAATGTGTCCCCGTCGCAGATTCCGAGGAGAATTATCCCTTCCGTACGGGGCACTCCTTCCACGCCGACCGTACCTGGGGCATATCCAGTTTCGGATCCTCGTGCTGCGGTGCTGGCGTGGGCGGAGAAGCACCGGACGCCAGACCACAAGTTCACTCCACGTGGTCCGGTCGCCCCGGTTACCCCGTCCGCTCAAGCAGATACACCTACTCCACAGGTGCGGGATCAAATCCCACGATATTCTTCATTTTTTTCTGGACCCCCGCCGGAGCTTCCTCAGTCCCCTCTACAAGTGTCCAACATCGTCGGGCCCACAATTATCCATCCTCGACTCGGTACCCAGTCTGGTCAGAATGCGCTGAGTGTTCCGAGTGTTTCTGGAAGTCGTGAGGAGGACCAGCCTAAACAGGCGCAAGAGTGTGGACTGACTGCGCAACGTGAGGGGCCCGAGAGCCGTGCAGAAGATATTCATGACCAACACCTCCGTCACCGAGATGTCCGCCATCAACATGGTGAGACCCATCTAGGTCGAAGTGAGGGCCAGTCCAGAGAAAGTGACCTACCAGGCCGTATTGTTGACGGCATGGTGCACCCAGCTTTCCGGCGCCAGGGACCAGGACCAATCTCGAACGAGGAATTCTACGAAATCATGAACCTTCGATTCCAGGAGACGATGCGCGCCCATCAGATGTCTGCTCAAGTACCAAGTGCGGTGCGGGGTCAAGGTGCCACTTTGAGGCGTGAGGAAACTTGTCAGGAGGATTGTGAGGTCGAGGATCATGATTCGGAATATGATGAAAGGCCGCTCCTCAGTCGTGGGTCGCAGTACTGGGAGCAAAGAAAAAAGCGAAAGGAGGAAGGCGCGAGAGATACAGAAGTCGAAGCGTCCCCATGATGACGAATCGGGTATATACACTCAACCCATGCAAGAGTATGGAGCAACAACGCAACGACGAATGATTGGATAAGAGAACGAGCGAGCGAATGAATGCCGATGGATGTGCCTGATATCCATGAACGGTGCCTTCACTCATGGACATTGTATCCGATTAACCAATGAGTTTTTCGAGTGAATCGATATGAATTGCATGCTTTGATGATGGCATGCACAGATGAGGTGTGATATCGAGAACGGGGTATCACACACCCAGTTCAGTATCTGACACAAGGATTTTGGGGGTGCGAGCATCGCATATGGCATGCTCCGACTAATATTTGTGTTTCAGGGTTTCTTTTCTGAGGGTCTCTCATGCGATTGGAGATGCGGGTCTGATATCGTGGAATGGGGCCATCACAGCCCACTTTGATCGGACTGCCGCAGACGTTTCGGAGTGAGAGCCTCACAATGGCTGTTTCCACCAATATTTTCTTTTTTGGGTCTGGGTTTCTTTTCTGTTATGAAGGCCTGCTTCAGCAAGAGCCTGCTCTCACGAGTTCGGAGACTCGGGTCTGATGTCTTGGAGGAGCTATCATAACACCCACTTCGATATCTGACTGTCGCGAGGCGAAGGTATCCCAATAGAATGCGTCCAGCAATAATTTCTTTCAGGTTTCCGGTTCTCTTTTCTGTTTGAAGGCCAGCTTCGATGAGAGCCTGCTCACAAGAGGTTGACGAGTCCCCGGGTCTGATATCGTGCCACGGCGCTTTCACAGCACCACGTACTGCTGCGTCTCACTGGCGAAACTCCGAGTGAAGAACATGCACAGCAGGCGTTGTCAAGCATGAGAATTATGAGATCAGAGACATGCGTGTTCGTAGAGGGAGGGGATAGGATAGGTAGCGCAATTCAATGGGATCAATCAAAATCATCGCGATGCGTGTGAGAAGTGTTTGTCGTCGTGAGATCATATGGATGAGGGGAAAGAGGGGAGGGGCGAAGTGAGTAACACGTTGGGCTGAACCGAGTTGCGACTGCACAATGCGGTTCGATCGTGTTAGTTCCGTCTCAGCTTTCACGGACAAGGCAATCAGGTCTAATTTCATAAGCTTAAGTCATTATCTACGAGCATTTCATGACGCGAGGAGTGAGGTATATCAAAGATGGTTTCCGCTGATCTCGGGACGAGATGGGTGGTGTTTTTTGGATCGCTCCCCTGGTCGCTGGTAGCCGACCCCTGTCCCGCTACCCTATCTTAGGGCTGTAGGAAATTATTTATAGTTATTTGATATGTATTTCCAGCTTATTTAGATAGCGAGTTGCAATTATCTATTTGAGTAGAGAGCAGAGATTCTATCTTGAGAAGTGACATTGGGGGAAGGCGATTGTTGAGAGATACTTTAGTGGTAGTTACTGTTCATTTCTTCTACTATCATGTATTCAGGTTGGTTCTAAAGGTGATAACTAATATCCTGACATCTAATTGACTAAGATCACAGTTAAAGATTCTTTATTCATTATGTCAAAAATTTCTGTGAAATGAGCATAGAATTACACTGAATAAAACTGGCACCAATGCAATGACTGATGTTGGAACAATGATGGGCTGGCGATCTATACGTTCCTACTCCGTACATTTGATGCATATCGAGCCGTTCAATACTATTATGAATTCGATAAAAAGACATGGAAAATCCCTCATTCGATTCATGCTATGAATCTATTACAATATCTTACTTCCAGTCCCTAACCCATCTCGTCCCTAGCCCACCCCATAGAAAAGACCCCTTCTCACAACGTATTCTCCAGCGCCAACACCACCGCCGACCGACTGGGAATATATGCCTGCAAAAAGTTCTTCCTCCCATTCCACGTAAATGCCGTCGTGAAGAACCGTGTCCCCTCCTCCACCCTCCCATGCCCTCCGAACTCCTTCGCGTCGCTGTTGAGGATAACTCGATACGTGCCAGGCGTCTCAACCCCAACGCGATAGTCCGCGAAGCTGGAGGAGGGGTGGAAGTTGAAGATCCACAGGAGGCCCGCGCGCTCGAAGACGATGACCTTATCGCCCTCGTGCTTCAAGCTGACAAACGCGGGGTCCGCCGCCAACCAGTGATATTTCTCCTCGGTATGCTGCATCTTCGCGTCGAAGTCGTTCAGGAAGCGGTAGCGCAGCAACGGGTCGTCGATGAGGTTGAACTGGCGGCGGGCGTAGTGGAAGGAGTTGCCATTGCCGTCGCGCGGGAAATCGAGCCATTCGGGGTGGCCGAATTCGTTGCCTTCGAAGTTGAGGTAGCCTTCGCCGCCGAGGCCGTGGGTGAGGAGGCGGATGAGCTTGTGGAGGGAGAGGCCACGGTCGATGGTCGGGGTGAGTGGGGAGAGGACGGACATGTGCGTGTACATTTCGGCGTCGCAGAGCCACATGAGGAGGGTTTTGTCGCCGACGAGGCTGGAGAGGTTAGTTTGGGAGACGGATTGAAGAGAGGGAGACGTACGCTTGATCATGGCTTTCAGCGTATGCAATGGTCTTCTCCTTGTCTCGCCGGTTGGTGAGCGTGAAGACCAAGTTGCCCATGTCCCAATCGATGTCTTGCTTTTCCTTAAGGAGCTTGATGTACATGTCGGGGATGGCCATGGCCAGACGGTAGTCGAAGCCGATTCCCCCCAGTGCGAGCGACATGCAGAGCGCCGGCATGCCCGAGACATCTTCCGCGATAGTGATGGAGTCGGGGTAGAGTTTGTGCAACAGCTCGTTGGCGAGCATCAGGTAGACGACGCCTTCTTCGTCGACGGTGTCGCCGAAATACTCGTGATATCCACCGGAGAAGCCGCTGGAAAGTGTCAGTGAGGGTTCCAATGAAGCAGTGGGATGACTCACTAGCCAATGCCATGGTGCTTGTAGAGGATGCTAGTCACGCCATCAAACCGGAATCCATCAAACTGGTATTCCTCCATCCAAAACCGCAAGTTGCTCAACAGGAACCGCAGCACCTCATGATGCCCGTAGTTAAACAACCTTGAGTCCCACAGCTCGTGATTACCCTTCGCCCCGGAGTGAAAATACAAATGATCCGTCCCATCGAACCCATTCAACCCGTCCAACACATTCTTCGACGCATGCGAATGCACTACGTCCAACAGCACCGTGATTCCCATCCCATGCGCCGTGTCAATCAACTCCTTCAGATCATCCGGCGGCCCGTACCGCGAGCTTGCCGCGAAGAACGAATTGATCTGATACCCGAAGCTCGCGTAGTATGCATGCTCCATGATCGCCATCAGCTGGATGACGTTGTACCCAAGATGGTTGATCCGCGGGAGCACGTTCTGCGTGAACTCCTTGTAGGTGGCGACCTTGGGATCGGGAGAAGAGATGCCGACATGCGCTTCGTAGATGCGGGCGGAGATAGGTTTCGAGGGTCGCGGATTCTTGAAGACATAGCGGGAGGACTGCGGAGGGTTCCAGAAGCGGGCTTCGTAGACGGGGGAGATGGTGAGGTCTTGGGTGACGCGGGTGATCCAGGCGGGGATGCGTTCGAGACGTTCGGGGTGGTCGGGGGCAACAAGAGATAACTGGGGGGTTAGCTTTGGATACCTTAAGGAAGGCGGGAGGATCGTACTCTGAGTTTGGAGTCGTGGGGAATTGCTGGCTCGCCGTTTTGGGCGGGGAGGGTGATCTCCCAGACACCAAAGTCGTTCTTCTTCATGGGGTGGGAATTCCGGTCCCAGTTGTCTATCGTCGATTAATTTCTGGAATATGCTCAGACCCGGTGTACATACTGAAGTCGCCGATAAGGTATGCCTCTGTGGCGTTTGGAGCCCATTCTCGATATATGATGTCGTTGTTGCTCTGAACATTGAGACCATAGCGCTCGAACCCCTATTACTCGTCAATTCCGGCGCATCACGACGAAGGAATAATACGTACCTTGCTAAATTGGTCCAATCCTCCTTCGGTCTCGTCGAGTTTCTTGATCCATTCCTGCGCTTTGCTGAACCGATGTCGAAGCGCGTCTTTGAATGGGGCAAGCCAAGGGTCGATTGCGAGGACGCCTGAACCTTTTTTTAGTATTTCATCCACATATCAAGTTATTTTTTCCGAGGATAGACGCACCAGTGCCATCGCCAGGCAATTGGCCGTTTGGGCCGCTCATTGTCTGTTCTGTCATGTCCGTATGACAAGGCGCGGGGCTGGAGAGACAAGTACGTGAAACTTCAACTTTATGAATGGAAAAAGCACACGAGAAAAAGGAAGATTTACAACTCTCAGATACGAACCAGAGCAATCTTCCGTTTTATCGGAAGTATCAGGGCAAGGACAGGTATAAATTGATCGCAAGATGGAGGCGACAGGAACTTTGTTGAAATGTTGTACAAGATGTTGAGGATGGCCTTCACAACAATTGTCTCCTCTGTCAATTCAACGTCATAATTTCCATTCCCCCACTGCTCTTGATACGGTATAGTTCCCGTCGAATCCCAGTAATAAGTGGTGTTCCATAAGACTGAGTGAGAAGCAATGAGACAGAACTGGGAGCTCTGCTCGTTGGTCAGATGAGCTTCGAGGGGAGCAGTCAACACGTTTCTACTGCAACTCTCCTGCTCTTTATCTCTTCCCCTACCTTTGATATGGACCATTCTTTGATACGGCTTCTTGAGTCTGAGATGGTAGAATTCAACCCGACTTAAGATGAAACTCCAGCCTTGAAGTTACACCCCCATCTACATCCGGACGTTCTTTATCACTTGTCACTCCGTACTCACCGCCCAGTTTCACCCCGCTCTCCCTTCTCGGAGCTCGACATACCGACCGGTTCGGATGCATGCTTCAACTTGACCTCCCATCTCCATATCAGGATAAACTCTCATCGTCCCTCCGCATGACCGCTCGCCGTGTTCCACCCATCATCTCCACCATGCCCATCTCCCCCCAAGCCCGCCTCACCTACATCGCCCTCGCCTCCCTCCGATCCACAGCTCCTCTCCCCTCCCCTCCCCTCCATGCCCGTACCCGTCGCCCTGCAGCACGCCACCTCTCCACCACCCCCCGCGTCCCCTCTGGCCACTTCTCGCGCTCCGACTTCAATAACCAGCCGTTCACCGGGGTCTACGAGCCGGGAGGACCGACGGGGGGGCCGCTGGACGGGGTGTCGACGGTCGGGGCGCCGAGGATCACGCCACGAGTGCTGAAGGAGCATTTGGATCAGTTTGTGGTGGGGCAGGAGCGCGCGAAGAAGGTGTTGAGTGTCGCGGTGTATAATCATTATCAGCGGGTGAGGGAGCTGGAGAGGAGGGATGCGGAGGTGGAGGAGATGGCGGCGCAGCAGGCAAGGAGGGAATTGGGGCGGCATCCGGTTGAAGGTACGGATCGTATGGATGCTCGATTGGATTGCGGTGCAGTGACTGATGTTTGATATCTAGATGAATTCCCTGACCAGCAAACCACGCAATTCTACCCTGCCATCGACGACGATATCCGCCATGACCAGCCACCTCGCCACGCCCATTCCCGACGTCCCTTAAACCCTCACGTCATCCTCTCCGAAGCTTCCCAAACCCATCCTCTCCACCCCCAACCCACCCTCCCCGAGCCTCCCACCCTCGAGAAATCCAACGTCCTCCTCCTTGGCCCCACCGGCGTCGGCAAAACCCTCCTCGCCAAAACCCTCGCCCGTGCCCTCGATGTCCCCTTCTCCATCTCCGACTGCACCCCCTTCACCCAAGCCGGCTACATCGGCGAGGACGCCGACGTCTGCGTCGCCCGCCTGCTCGCCGCCGCCGACTACGATGTCACGCGCGCCGAGCGGGGCATCATCGTGCTAGATGAGATCGATAAGATCGCGACGCGGCGGGTCACGGGGGGAAGGGATGTTGGTGGGGAAGGAGTGCAGCAGGCATTGTTGAAGATTGTAGAGGGGACAACATTGCAGATACATGCGAAGCCGGAGAAGGGGGGGAGTGGTTCACGGGGTGGGCAGAGCGGGGGGGGGCCAGGGCCGGGGTTTCCATCGAATCCGGTGTCCGGAAGTGTGAACACGAGCTCGAACATGGGCGGCGGCGGCGGCGGGGGGAAAGGGGAGGTGTTCAACGTGCGGACGGACAACATCCTCTTCATCTTCACGGGGGCGTTCATCGGGCTGCACAAGATGATTCTCAGCCGGATCAGCAGCGGCTCCATCGGCTTCGGCGCTGACGTGCGTGCCAAAGAAGCAAAAGACGGCGCGCACGAGACCCTCCTCTCCAACGACCCCGAAGACCTCGCCCTCTTCCGCCGTCACCTCCCCTTTTACTCCCCCGACCACTCCGCCG